ATCGGGGACGCCTGGGGCAGAGCCGGACTATTGGAAGGGGGGGGGCTATGAGAGGGCATTCCTCCACCCCCCACCCCATCCCAGACCACTCATAGACATGTCTTCCGATAGTCCGGCATATCTGATAATCTGGCACCCCCTGGGTCCTAAAGGTGCCGGATTATCGGAAGTTTACTGTACTTTGCAAATTAGATCTACTTATTTGGCTTGGAAATTTTAGAACATATCAAATGTTGGATCATTTTGGCTGAGTTATCCCTTTTTTTTCAACAGTGGAGGTAGGAAGTACAACTAAAGAGAAAAGGAAAACAATTGAAAGTTAGAAGACTGGAAATAAATGAAACAAAGACACAGCTGTAGTGTGATACATAAGGAGAGACAGAGAAAGAAAGGAAGAAAAGGCATATAAACCAACTTAATGCATTGTCAAGAAGGTTAAGGAGACAATAGTAACTTTTCAATTTGAAGGGATCCTCATAGTTCACCCATATACGTATTTCTTTTCTATCCCTTCCCCCAACCCATGGTTTTTCCTTGCCAACATGAAATACTCTGTTCCCTTAGCGTTCTTAGCCCCTAGTGACCTGAGAAAGCAAGAGACTGAATGTTTGAACTCTGATTCCAATGTGTGGCCATGCAATTATCCCGCAGGCCAGCCATTTTTAAATTTTACATTAGTACAACCTAAACTAGGTGATCGTGATAATCCCTTCTCATCTTAAAATATTTTAATCAGAAATCTATTAATCTAAAAGGGAACTCTGAAAATTAAGCCACACACACAAATATGTAATGCGTGCTTTTCACTGATTGGGCTACAAAAACTCTTTATAGCTCCCATGAAGTTTGGTGACTTGTTTTAGGAATGCTGCAGGAAGCAGTTCCTGGGTTGTGAGGGAAGCAATTTACCTGACTCACAATAAACCAGTTTTAATGAACCTATAAAGGTTTATATTGTTTGTGATGTCCTGGAATTATGTATTCTGAGACCTTGATAGTGAATTCAGAACTGACTAGCATATTTCACAGGTCCTGTAAATGATTATTTTAATCTAAATTAGCTTTAATGACTTCTGTGTTTTCCAATTACTATATAATTATTAGAATAAATATAGTTATCCTACATAAAATGATCTGCTTATGTGATCCCGCAAGGTTGGAGTTGGTCTATATTTATGCTATATCATGAGAGGTTAAACCTCTGAAACCTGCTGTGACAATTGATTCTTAATGGAAACTACTGCTATTTTTGCAAAGTCACCTGTTCTTTCAGTACAATATAATGAGAACAGCATATATCAAATATATTTCAATAGTAGAGTTATTTTAAAAAGGAAATACAGAGTGCAAGTTCCCTTAAAATCTTAATTTCTTAATACAGTCACACAAGGGGGAAAAGATGCACACAGGCAGTTCCTACCATTAGAAATTGATCTTACTAAAATGTTAAAGTTGTGAGGCTCTTTAAAAGTAGCCTCAGTTAAGAAAACCAAATTCTGTAAATGCTGTCTTTATATAGCCCAATTATAGACTGTGATCTACAAGAATCTGTCTTATATATTTGGGGGTTTACTTCTTTGTTTTGAATAAAGTATAGATTATGGATCAGGCTAAAGACCACTGCAAACTAAATGTAAACAGTAACTTTGAGTAAAATGAAATGTTTAAGGATTAAGAACGTAAGAATGACCATACTGGGTCAAATCATAGGTCCATTTAGCCTAGTAATAACACATTTATATTATTATGGTCCAACCAGTTCCATCTATTCAGACTTACAAATGGTAATTGCACAGTTGTCACTGAGAAGCTGATTTGAAGATAATGGGTTTGCAAAGATGTAACTAAGGGCAGAATTCGCCTTTATTACTAGTGATGGCATTAGAGATGCAGAGAAGCCAGCTTAACTCTATGTTGCATCTGTAGGGTATGTCTGACACTGCAGTGGGAGCAAACTTCCCCGTGTGAGTGGACACTGGTATTTTAATACACTCGATTAATTAATCAAACCTGTTTACATTTTTCATTTTTTTGTGTGAAACTCTAGAATTAGCAAATTTTCAAGTAATACTCACTTAAAACAAAACACAAAGTGCAGCAAGAATTTGATGTAAAATCTTTCTTTCTGCTTATTAGGTTGAGGGATGTAGTGCTCTCTGATAAGCTAACATATATTATGTTATAGGTAAGTCCCAGGAGAGTGACAGTGGTAGATATTCAGTCTTTTCTGAGATGAAACATGCTTGTCGATCCATTGAGTTTTGTCAGTGCTCGTTTCATAGAGAACTTCCTTCTTATTTTAGACACTATACAGTTCTATAGCAGAAAATAATTTGAAGGTAAAAAAGAAATGCTGGATTTCCAAACTAAAATTATAAAATAAAATAAATAATAACTAAAAGACATGGAAAACAATTAAATTAAAAGAAAAATCTGTTCTTCTCAGCTATTTAACCCAGATCCAACCATGAGTTTTTGCTTAATGGCTTTTCTAAGTTGGTCTCTGCGGGCATGTCTACACAGCATTGTTATTTTGGAATAACTAACATTATTCCGAAATAACACAGAGTGTATCTACATAACAAGCCATTATTTTGAAATAATGGCAATCTGGAGGATTTCTTACTCTGACTCCTGTAATCCTCATTTCACAAGGAGTAAGGGAAGTTAAAAGAAGGGTGTTCTTCCTGCCACTTCCTGCTGTATAGACAGCTCCAAAAGCTTAATTAAGCTATTTTGACTTCAGCTACATAATTGATGTAGCTCAATTTGACTTTTACCCTGCTATCTAGATGTTCCCTGATTTACTAGTGGAAAAGGTGCCTGATATAATATCTTTTATTGGACCAGCTTCTACTGGTGAGAGAGCCAAGCCTTTGAGCTTACAAGGAGCTCCTTACCAGTATTATGGTAGTATGTAACATAAATCTTTATATAAGATCCCCAGGTTTCATTAAGAGATAATAGTTTGTATATATGCATCCTAGTCTAATTCTGTGGTTCCTATGTCAATTCACAGATTTGGAGTTAATTTTAAAAAATTATAAGTGGAATATTCTGGTTTAAAAACTGGCAATTACAGACCTAACTTCAGTACCAGTCACATTAGTTAAAACGATAGTCTAGAGCAGAATTATGAGATGCATAGATATACACAATACGTTGTGGAAGTGTCAGCCTAGTAAAGGGAAGGCATGCCTCATCAATCTACTACAGGTTGAACCTTCGAAATCTGGGACTCTCTGGTCTGGCAACATCTGTGGTCTAGCAGGACGAGGATTTTGCTGGATCAGAGAGCCCCAGCACTTGGGAGTGCGAACCAGCTGGGAGCCCTGACCCCAGGGAGCCCTGAATAGTGGGACCAACAAGCCCCGTCCCTGGGGATTCCCAGTTGAGCGGGGGAGAAGCGGTGCTGCGGTGTCTGGGAAGCTATGTCCCCAGAGAGCCCCAGTGGGCTGGAGCCCAAGTCCAAGCCCTTCAGGCTGGAGCCCTGTGGCTGTGGGGCAGAGCAGAGCCATTCCCAGGAACAGGGAGTCTCCTGTGAGACTGGTAACAGGGGACCTCTTCTGATCTGGAAATTCCTTCATTCGGGACGGGTCAGGTCCCGAGGGTGCTGGACAAGGGAGGGCCAACCTGGGGTAGCAACAAGCATGTGAACAAGGGTGATCGGTATAGTATATTTGAACTTTCAGGAAGTCTTTGACAAGGTCCCTCACTGAAGGTTCTTCAGCAAAGTGGTCCTGGGATAAGAAAGAAGGTCTTCTCATGGTAATTGGTTGAAAAATACAAAACAAACAGTAGAAATAAATGGTCTCTCGTGCTGTGAAAAGTGGTAGATCTCCTGTTTCCCCATTGATCTGTCCTGAGACTAATGCTATTCCATACATTCAGAAATATTCTGGAGAAGTGGAAAAAGCATTTTGTAGTGTTTACAGATGATACAAAATTAGTCAAGATAGTTAAGACCAAAGCAGACTGCAAAAGAGTTACAAAAGGATCTCACAAAACTGGGTGTCTGGACAACAAAATGGCAGATGAAATTTAGTGTTGATAGTTGCCTTAAATATTGCAAAACAACAAATAGTCCTGTGGTACCTTAGAGATTAACAAAAATATATAGTATCATGAACTTTCATGGGTAAAACCGTATGAGTTGGTTTTCCACTCCAGCTCATTTGATCAAGTGGGTTTTACCCATGAAAGCTCATGATACTAAATATATTTTTGTTAGTCTCTAAGGTGCCACAGGACTATTTGTTGTTTTTAAAGTTAGGGTACGTGTACACAGCAGTGTTATTTTGGAATAACTGACGTTATTAATAACATAGTGTCTACACTACAAGCAGTTTTTTCTACAATGTGAAAATAATGTTGAGTGGGTGGACTTCTTACTCTGACTCCTGTAACCCTCACTTTACAAGGAATAAGGGAAGTCAGAGATAGAGTGCTCTTCCTCAGACTTCCTGCTGTGTAGATGGAGCCAAAAGCCGAAGTAAGCTATTTTGACTTAAGCTATGCAATTGACGTAGCTGAAGTTGCGTAGCTTATTTCAGCTTTAGCCCTGCTGTGTAGACATGCCCTTACAGACCAACACAGCTGCCCCTCTGAGACTTTTTAAATATTTCACACAGTTCTAGCTGCCTCATCTCAAAAAAGAGATGTTAGAATTTGGAATTTGTACAAAAAAAGGCAACAAAAATATTTAGGGGTATGGAACAGCTTCCATACAAATTAAAATTAAAGACTGAGAGTGTTAATCTTAGAAGAGAGATGTTTAAGAGGGGCTATGACAGAGGAGGTATTCCCTCTAATTTTCTGTGTCCATGTGTGAATTGAATTTTGTTATGTGTGCCAATATGGAGATGATGTGCGACACATCATCTCCATATTGTACATAAAACATTAATTCTGCACATTGACAATCTGTGTTGGGGAATGGGCTGAGGGGTTTGGTGTGTGGAAAGGCACTCAGAGTTGGGGGATGAGGGCTCTGGCTTGGAATGCAGGCTCGAGATGAGGGGTTAGCATGCAGGGTGGGCTCAAGCTGGGGCTAAGGATTTTGGAGTGCAGGTTCAGGGCAAGAGATTGGGGTAGAGGTTTGACGTCTGGGCAGAAGTTAAGGTTCAAGGGGGAGCTCAGGATTGGTGTATGGGATTGAGTCAGGGTGGTGGAGGGGACTTGGGACTTGAGCAGGTGATTGGGGTGGAGGGTGCTTACCTGGGGCAGCTCTCATTTGTTGTGGGGAGGAACAGGTGGATCTCTGATGTTGTCCACTCTCTGGCAGGCACTGTCCCCCACAGCTCCCATTGGCCCGGCAGCCAGTGGATTGCGGACCGGCAGCAGTCCACAGACCGGCTGTTGCGAACCTCTGCATTAAATAAACCAGTGTGAGAGACTGCTATTGTAGAAGTTTAAAATAAAGGCATGCATGATTTTTGTTAGAGGTTTCAAGATTAAGTTCTATTGAACTGTGAATCCAGAACTAACTACAGTGAATGAACAAGAAATTATTCATCTCAACATCATGAGACATATGCAAACTGTTAATATTTTACTCAACTATGGAAGCCCCGGGGACCACAATGATACTCACAGCACATGCTGAGGGCTGTACTTAAGTATGATTGCATATACATGCAAATATATATACAAATATATGCAAATAGCTTCTTTCACACTGACTGGCATGAATACAAAGATTAAGTCAAGACTACACAACACAGGCCCCATTTAAGTCATTTCTGCTGATATTTATAAAATGCAATATTTACCCAATTTCTACCCATATGACAGCACTTTTAATGAGCAATGACAGTCCAGGAATTTTACTACTAAAATGCATGTCAACAGAAGACCATTATATTGACTGCCTTTTTAGTTTGGCTGCCACCCGCAGGCCGCACGTAAATCCAAACCGCATCGCGGGCCACATACGGCCCACGGGACTTGTGTTGAGTAGCCCTGGTTTTTAGGCTTGTGACTTATTCTCTATATAAAGAACGTAATGGAAGAATTAATAAAGAATTGTTTACTGAACTCTCTCTGTTCCCTTAAATGGCATTAACAACAAGGAACAAGGAGTCTTCTCATGAAAATACAATAAACTTTGATACTTACCTATCCATGCTTCAAAGTTTTCTATTCCATGAATCCTTATCTTTTTCCTCTCTGATAATTATGTATTTTTCTATACTGTTCCTATCCACTGAGAGTGCCCTCCCAACTGCTTGTGTAACAGACATCCACCACTACTTTTTCTAAATCTCTCCTTAGATTATTTACATGAGCAAGATTTTGAAAGATCAAGCCTAAAGAAAGAAAATTACCAATCAGACACAGAGTATATTTATTGGAAGGTATTCTACCAGTAGTAAGATTCCTTACTTAGTGCCCACATATGCAATTATATAAGAATGTTGCCTCAAAAGATGGTTTAGGGCTGATAGGAATGACAAAAGTATGTTTTGATGAAGAATTTGAAAGAGGAACAGGTGAATGCTTTCCTTATCAAGAAGAATGTGCTCTAGTCTCATTCGCTTCATTGGAAGACTAGTAGGAATTTACTCACATGAAAAAGGCTTTTCAGGACTAGATTTTAGCACTGTAAACCAAGTTAGGGGAACTTGTCTGTACAGTGTTCCATAGTGCACAGAACACGTTGTTGGTACCCAACAATTGTCACAGTAAGATTGTAGTTACTGTAACATTGTCCTAACCTGACCATTAGGTTTCTTTATGTTTTATGTTGCCTCAAATTCTTGAAATTTTGCCATAGTACTGAAATTGCAGTTCAAAAGTTGCCATACTAAATGAACCTAATATTTCTGCTCAACAGGCCTCATTGATGGTTATGCAGATGAAAAAGCATTTCTGGAAAAACAAGTCCAGGAAAAAATAGATATAATAGACCATCTTGAGCAAGAGCTACTGTGTACAGGTAACAAATTGCAGGAACTAGAAGCTGAACAACAGCAGATCCAGGAAGAAAAGGAGCTACTCTCCAGACAGAAGGATGCCATGAAAGCAGATGCAGGACCAATAGAGCAACGTATGTATTCTATGCAATTTTTCTATGAAGTTCTTTCATATTTCTTACTTCATCTTTAGTCAATTTTCAGAAATCATGACTAACTTTTTTCTTTTTTAGTAATATGCATAGGACAACGTAATAAGGCCAACAGTTTTATTTGTTGGTGCCTAATTTGAGCACCAAGATTCATATTTAGGCAACTAAACAAAAACAGTCTAATTTTCACAAGTGTGAGCAGCCATGGCTGCCAATAAAGTCAGTAAAAGCTGTCATTGCTCAGCACTTCTAAAAAAATTTATTTTTATTTTTATTAAGCCACTTTTATTTACGTGACCAAATTTGTTCTTATCTGGTAACTTTAGACACCCAACTTTAAAAATGCTGGCCTATATGTGTCCTTCTTAGTACAATCAGGTCTTTTACCACTGTTTCCTCAAGAAACTCTACTTAAGCACACATAATTGAAGTAGTCGCACAAGTTCACATGCAATTAAACACTGAGGAAGGTGTATCCTTATCTCACCAAACTCCTTTTTCATAGACTCACTGTTAGAGCTTGTCTATATGTACCAAGAGATCAACACTCCAGAGATGGATCTTCCAGGGTTTGATTTAGTGGGTCTAGTAAGGACCAGCTAAATCAAATGCTAATGGAGCCCTGCCACAGATTACAGGTCATGCCCACACTTGGCCCCTATGTCTCCAGGCAGGACTCCCCCTTTTTCAGTGCAGCAGCCCCTTCTCGGGGAGCCCACTCCAGAACAGTGGCAGTGTGATGACCCTTTCTCAGGGAGTCAACTCCAGTGCAGCAACTCTCTTTTGGGGTGCCCACTTTCACCTGGGGGGTCCGCCCCTCTGCCTCTGAGACGGTGCCTCTCAGGCCTTCAGCACATCTGCCTCCACCGTGAGCCCCTCTGGGAGATCCACTCCCTCTGGACCCCCGGGGCCTCCACTTACAGAGGGAATAGTGCAGCCCTGTTTTCCAGACCAGACTGACTCTCAGCGAGCACAAAACAGGAGGGTTTACTGAGCTTTGAACACAGCAAAGGATCTCTCAGGCCTGTAAGCCTGGCTTCCCGAGCCCAGCACGTCTGGGTCTCCCCTGGATCTAGGTGAGCTCTGCCTGCTTTGCCCTCTATCAATATCAGAAGAAGGTCTTCCAGAAGAGTCGCCAATATCCCACAGCAACAGCTCCTCTCCTGTCGATTGTCTTCTCTGCAGGTAGTCAGGGTCGCCCAGGCCCCTCTCTGTTCTGTTTCTCCTCTCCTCCATCCAATATTTTCCCCTTGCTGAAACCAACTGGGTCAGTCACTGAGGTCTCCCCTCTGCGGCCCATTGTCTCTCATCTGGCCAGAACCACTTGTGACCTCTGAGCAGGATCAGCTGGTCAGCAGGGCACCAGTCACTGGGGCTCCAGTTCTGAGCTGTTCTCTGCAGCAACAAACTCCCTCTCCCCTGGTCACATTTAAACAATAATATCCTGGGGCACTGAGTGCCCATCTGCATTCAGCCCTCCTTTGAATCTCCAAAACTCCCCACTTCCTCACAAGCCTGTCCACCCTGGCATTCCACAGAGTTGTGAGGAATAAGGAAAGTTAGGAGAGTTTCTCTAGTGTAGACCTGGCCTTAACAAAGAATGTAACAGATAAGCTCCTTCTGCAAGGTGGCATGCCAGACTTTATTAAGGGGAAACCCAGCACCTGGATCCCCCAGTGTTTTAAGCCTCAATAGTTTGAACAGAGCTCTGGAGCTTTCCCAGTCTAGGGGTTCCTATATACACTCTTGGAATGTAGACCATCGCCTAATGCTTCCTTCAGAGAGCTGACTGCAGGGTCCAAATGCCTATCACCTGGAACCAGTGTTAGCTCTTCAGACTCCACCCTGTAGCTTAAACACGGACTCACCAAAATCCTATCAAAACAGTGAGCCTTCTCAGTTGCAGTTTGACTCTTTCAGGGGAAATGTGGTTATTGTAGCATATAATGCATGCACGCACTTTACACAAATTTTAACACGTTGTTGTTCTGAACTTATTCACAAAAGAAATATACAGATCCATACAAAATAACCCTATACAGTAGAATCTCAGAGTTATAAACACCTCGGAGATGGAGATTCCTTGTAATTCTGAAATAGTTGTAACTTTGAACACAAATATTATGGTTTTGGTTGTTCTTTCAAAACTTTACAACTGGCTGTTTACGTCATATGATGCAGAAGTAGAATGCTGCTTTTAACCGTATTAATTTTCTTATCTGGTCAAAGTTTTTTAAACAACTTTCCCTTTATTTTTTTATTAGTTTACATTTTACTGTATTTGCTCTTTTTTTTATTGGTGGTGGTCTCTGCTGCTGCCTGCTGGCATATATCCAGTTCCGTATGAGTTCTCTGGTTCCAGTTTGCAACTTGGTGCTCGTAACTCTGAGGCTCTACTGTAGGTGTTTTCCTTCACTTTGGCTCACCCTTCCTTTGGGATCTTTGCTGAGCTGAGGTAGATGGCCCTCAACTCTCTCTTTCAGCAGCTCCGCTCATCTTAAGCTGGTGAAAATGGCTAAAGAGAGCACATAGAACAGTTCCTGCTCTTCAAAACTTTCCAGTCCTCTGTCAAGTGACTCCCTAGTCAGCCTCAACAGGTGGACCACAGAGTTCTACCAGATGATTTCATTGCTAAACAGTCAGGCCCTTCCCCTTCTTTCCTCTCTCTGCCCAATTATTCTTCTGGATAGGAGCGGTCTTATTGTCTAGGACAGTGTTTCTCAAAGTGGTCTGCGAAACCACTCTGTGAAACCTGCTAACTGGCCACTGCAGTGTGTTTATTTACTGGCTCCACAGCCATGGAGCTTCACAGATCCCATTGGCTTCAGTTTGCCATTTGCAGTCAAGGGGAGCCAAGGGAAACGGCAACTTGGCCCATGGCACATCCCACAGCTCCCCTTGGTTGCAAATGGCAAACTGGAGCCAATGAGGGCTGCAAGGCTTTGTAGCTGCAGATCTGGTAAATAAACACAGTGGAGCGGCCCGCTAGCAGGTTTTTGACAGTGGTTTCATGGACCACTTTGAGAAACACTGGTTTAGGATATTTGCATTTGAATAGAAGACCAAACCAATTTGACCAACCTTTATGGTCAGCCTGTATCACTCAGTACACCTTGGAATTTCAATACAGTATGGTATGAACAAGGCAACAGAGAAAATAAAGACATCCATATCTAAAATGGAAAGTGTAGATTAACACAAATACATATAAAGACCCCCTACTCTTAAATATCTTTTGACAGTGAAGGGACTCTTCTAAATAGCACATAGAAAGAAACCTCCCAGCTAACTTAAACTAGCTAGCTGTTTACTCAACAAATGTTTAACTTCATAAAGCAAATGCATTTTTTAATTCTTCCTTCAACAAGGAACTAAATGTCTGTGAATTAATATTTGCTGAGGAGAAAAAGTTAAGGCAATAGTATTTAAACAGTCCTATCTTGATCTTTCCTACTCAGGAAATGTAATGTGAAATGTTAGCATTTTATTTAATACCTGGGGTTGATAATTGGAATAGTAAATTATCTTCAAGATTTTTTTCCATGTTTATGCAAAACTTCGTTAAAGTGTTACTGTTAAATTATAGATTATAATCCCGTTGCATATTTGCTATCTCAGGTATCCATGTTTATGTAATGAACAGTTGTTTAATAGTAATCTGTTCGTTCTTGTGCTGAATAAAGGAATCCTTGTATACAATTTTGGTTGTTTTGTGTACATTACAAAAACACTTGAAAATATAAGGCCTTTTACATGTGCACTTTAAACTTGTGGATGAAAAATACACATCTGTGTCATACTTCTCAGAATAACCAAGCATATTCCTTAAGCTATCTCAACAACTATATCTTTAAACATAGCATTCTGTCTTCAGTTTTAGTTTGTCTTACATTATCAAGTCATGAGAAAACTGTAGCTGGCATGTGAATTACTTTGCTTCTTGTTTTTTGTTGTTTTTTTTTCTGTTCTCCTAGGCATAGTAGATGCTGCAGTCGATGCAGCTTCACAAGCAGGTGTGTTTGTATATTGCATGGCTGATCTTTAATTGGGTGGCAGACTTACACTTACTGACATTTATTAATCAAGAACTTTTGAGCTTTTAGCTTACTGACATTACTCTTAATTCTTACTGGCCTTTAGCTTTGTTATATTTCATACTCACAATTTTTCTTTTTAATAACAAAATTTCTTTTAATTCCTAAGCACAGTGTATTAGCACAGATTTGATAAGCAGATTCATTAATAATCATCATCTTATTCACCTATGAAATGTCAGATTTCATGCTGTATTGGAAGAGGGTTTAATAGCCTTTTGATTGCTGTTAACTTGTAAATATAATTAACATGATGATTTTGCTGGATATTGTTTTGTATTGACATGTAATGCTTACCCAACAAAACAAGAATTGATTAAATCCATGTAAGATGATGGTATCCAAAGGATCTCTATTGTGTGGCAAATGAAAATTGTATTTATCCAGTGGTTTTATTTTAATAAACCTAAATATCAATCATGTTTGTGAAGATTCTGCAAAGATAATTGCACTTTATAGATCCCTAGTCTTGGGTCTTAGTTGAAGGGGTCGCTAAGGTTAGGTAATAAGACTTCTTGAAGTACATGCCTTTAATGTCTCATAAGAGCATTTCTGAGTTTTATTTTAAATGTTTTCTGGTCCTCTCCTGAGGATACAAAACCAAAAACTGGGGATCTGTATAGGCCACTGCTTTCTGAAAATTTCAATTACAAGTAAGTAATTTCCCTCGCTATCTATCTCACCTCACCAGGATAAGTTCTGCAGTATTCCCTTCACATGTTGTATATGCATCATGTGAAAACAAATTGGAATGTATTAATCTTATTGCTACAGGATGAGAAGATGATTGGGTTTTCCATGTCTTGTTATGAAGCCTTGCATTTTGCATCAGTTCTGATTACAGCTGAGGAATTTCCTATATTGTACCTTTTGAGCAAACATCTTTAGATTAATATAAAACTTGGACAATAAAGTGACATGATAAAGTTGTGTTATTAATAATCTTGTAAAGAACATTATATCATTTTTGCTATTTCAGCTGAGATTTCCTATGGATTTTGTGTATAGTGATTTTTTTTTCATAGAAAATACCACATTTTTTTAAAAATTAATAAAACCCAAACCTGTTCACATCCTTTATTTGGATATAGCATGGATATGCAATCTTGGGGAGTGGTTTTGTAGTGATAATATAATTAATTATGCATATCTAAAAGCAATATGGTTCATTTATTTAAAAACAGAATTGCTGGAGGAGACAGAAAAGCTAATGAAGGAAAAAATAGAAGTACAACGTCAAGCTGAAAAAGAGTACGATGATCTCCAGAAACAAGTGAAGGCCCTGGAAACAGATTTGGAGGAGCAGGTCAACCGGTTTATGGAGCTAGAGCAAGAGAGAAATGCAGAATTAATGGATCTAAGACAGCAAAACCAGGCTTTGGAGAAGCAGCTTGAGAAAACAAGAAAATTTCTAGATGTAAGTATTAAGAAAGAAGAAGACGGAAAATGTTTGTTAATGTTTTCAGGTAGGAGAAATAGGTGAAAAGACTTCTCTCAACTGCGAGAAATGCTACTTCTTATACTTTAAGCTAAAATGAAAAAAAACAGATATCACTGGACTCCCAAAGTGGTGTCAGGTCTAGAGATGTCATTAACATAGTGCTTTAAATGTCAAATTGTGTCAAATTGTGATCTCTACTTTTAGAATATTCCCAGTGTATTTTGGAGTATGATTTAGTTGGAAAGCTTAATGTTTTTAAATAATGTTGTTTTTAATATTTCTAAACTTACAAATCTAAAAATCTCTAAAATGAGTAAGAAAAATATTTAGAATTGGCTTTGTGTATGGCAAGGTATACTGTGTTTTCCATTTTATAAAAAAACAGGATGAGATTGCCTGGGTCTACCAAAAGAAGGTTAGAAGACACTTAGTAAGGACTGTTATCAGATCACAAGTTTATTACATAGATGCCTGGAACTATCCACTGGATAAAGTGTACAGTGCAGGAAAATCCATATTATTCAAATCATTCTCTGGGGCTTCCACCAGCTCCCATTCATTTTCCATCCAGGTCCCCCCCCAGTCAAACAGTGGCTTTGAACTTACCATCTGCCCCCCTCATAAGAGGGTTAAGGTGGGCTATAAGAACAGAAGAGGGATGGTGTTGGCTCCCTGCCATACTCACGGCCATCCTTACCCATACACAGTTTTGTAGGGCACCTGAAAATTTGGGGCACTACTGAGTCTTAATGTCCACCCACCCACCTTTTCCAAGACATGTTCTGTGGCTCTCCTTTCTCTGGAGCAGGGTTTCCCAACCTATGGGTCGGGACCCAAATATGGGTTGGCATTACATTTCAAAAGGGTTGCCAGGTGTCTCGCCAGGTGTCTCCCCAGGTGGCTCTTACGGAGCCATTTACACATTTTTTTGAATTGCCCTGGGTCACCAAGTCTTCCTGAATTGTCAAAATGGGTCCCCATCTGAAAAAGGTTGGGAACCACTGCTCTGGAGGGATCTAGTTAAGTTAAAAGTGGGAAAAAAACAAAACCCTGCCAGACCTATTAGCAGAACACTGAACCTGTGAAAAAGCCATCTAAGTGGTAATGAAGCCACTTCACTGGTATTTGCCAATCCTGGATATGTACTGTCAGTTTCTGAATTGAATGTGTCTACAGGACCCTGCCGTAATGCTCAGCTGCCTTCCCCCTCTGCAAGCTCAGTCAACATTCACCCAACTTTAAGTGCGGTGTGGTCATTTTAAAAGACTCAGAAGAGTTAAATATCCCACTCCCATTGAACTTCAGGGGAGTGGGAGATGAGTTTTCTTAGGCTCTTTTAAAAATCTCATCCTTGTAATGCTTTGGACTACATGTAAGTTTTTCTGGTCGCTCTCCAGCAGCACTTTGCTGGATTCCCATTCCATCTGCCTCCTCTCCCTACAGCAGGTGCAGGTGAACCCTTCCCTTCTGCTGGGTTGCACAGCCTACCTGACCACTCAGCATCCACATACTATGATCTTTCCCTGTTTACAGTTGTACCCTTCCTTCTATTCACCGATCCCGACCTTCCCCAACCACCAGGCTCCCACTGGAGTGCTCCCTGTCCCTGCAAGCTTATGTTCAGACTCTTCTACAGCTTGTATTACACCCTTTCTTCAATAGTTCATGCAGTTTTTGCATGAACAGAGTAGGTGTGGTAGTAGTCTACAGATTCTGAATTGGCAAGAAGTCTCCTGCAAAGAATTATGCATCAAAAAATTCTTTAAAAGTTAACTGTGAGGTTCTGCCACTGGTAATGTATAGCTTGCGGAGTGAAGTTCATTCGTACTAGATGAAATTCACTGGGATACAATGGATTAACATGGAGCCTTTCAGATCACTTCAGCTCTATGGTAAAGCTAAGCCAGGAAGTCTGCATGCTACAGGATCTGCAACAGTATTGGTCCAGTGTCAAAATCAGTGCACAGGGGATACAGAGTAGCAATGGATGTCATCATAGCCTGTGGCTGGAAAAGCAGCTGGAGGAGCTCCACTGAAGTCCTACACCAGTTTGTGGGTGGAGATTGATGAATTCCACCCTGTAACTAGTATTTCTCTGCACAAGCCCAGTTTCTCCAGTTATGTGTAGGGAGGGATGAATTTCATCTGTAATTAATATAACAGCTAGAATATTTTGTGATGCCACCTCCGCATTATTTTCTACCAAATAGTGTGAACTGGAAGGACTGTCTAGAAATATTTTAACACTTAGATGAATTTGCATTATTTCATTTTGTGTTGTTCTGATATTGATGTTCTAATTAAAATTAGTGTTTTTTTCTCTTGTTAGGTTCAAAATTAACATGTGATAAATCCATCACTATATATATAGTGATGGATTTATCACAATTTTTGTTGACCAACAATGTGAGTTTAAGAGCAACATAACACTTGGCCAGAATGCAAATAAACTCTTTATAAAATGCATTAGAATTCTGCAGTAGAATAGAATAAACTGCAATTCATAGACATTAATGTTATATCTCACTATATTTGACTTTTGTGAAAATTGAAGACCCATATTATTGTGCTAATGTGGTATTTAAAAACAACAGAAAAGAAATGTTCTTTGCTGCTGTATCTTGACTTTTCATTTAGCAGACAAACTTTTATAAATTGACAGTCGTGGGGAGTGCTACAGCCCCCGTTGTTACTACTGTTGCAGCATTTAATATATGAATATTTAGAAATTATATCAACAATGTCACAAAATGTATCTCAAACAATTTGATTTAACCAAAACAAATTTGTTATGCAAAATTCAGCTAATCTATTCATTTTTTAAATCTGGTTTTGGTACTTGGTGCGAATAAACTATTCAGATTAGTATTAGTATATTAGTATTCAGATTTCAGCATTTCAGTACATTTGTATTAAATATATGAAAGGAAAAGGAAAGTTAGAAATATCGAAATGAAAGGTATGTTGCTGACCGTTACAGAAGAAATAACATACTTTGATCAGTGTCACAAAGTAGTATCGGATCCAGAGGGAATACAATATCTTATATTGGTTTTTTTCACTGATCAAAAAGAAAAATGTGAATTACAGTGGCTGGCCAATAAGTGAAAGGATTTAATAAAATAAAAAAGGGATCATGCTGCCAAATGAAACTGACATATTTAAAACACTCAAAGATTGCAGAAATTAAATTATATATGCATAATTTAAATATGTTTTATTTCTAATAATGTTTGTCCTAATAACATTGCCATAATTAAATTTCAGGAACAGGCAATTGATAGAGAACATGAAAGAGATGTGTTCCAACAAGAGATACAGAAACTAGAGCAACAGCTTAAGACTCCACAAAGGTTTCAACCTATCAATGAACACCAAACCAGAGAGGTAACATTTTGAAGTATTATCAGCTGTGCTTAATGAGTGTGTGAGACAAAAGCAAATGACAGACATGCTGTAAAAATACTTTTTAAACTTTATAAAGTACATAATCTGCATCTTGTGCAAAGCAAAAAGATAAATCCATATTGATAAAGACTGAAAGTGTTATTTGAAACAGCAGAATAATGCAGAATGTAGATATCACAGTAATAGACCTGTCTGGAACAGCTAATGAAGATAGATCAAACTTCTTAAGCATTAATGGAAACATGAAATCTATTTGCCAGTTTGTCTAGGTTATTACATTGGAACATGTCCCACATGTTGAAACTATTTATTGTGAAGAAACCACTGCAAGTGCACCTACATTCACACAAAAGATGGTCACTAATAGCTAGGGTTGTCAGGCATGTGGTTTTCAACCTGAACTCCCGGTCAGAAAGGAATCCTGTTGGCTCCAGTCAGCACTGCTGACTGGGCTGTTAAAAGTCCAGTGTATCCCTGGCTCTGTGCAGCTCCTGGAAGTGGCTGCCATATCCCTGAGGCCCCTAGGATGGGGAGGCAATCAGGGAAGCTATGCCCACTGCCCCTACCTCCATGGCCAAAAGGGGGCTGCGGGGGCAGCGCCTGTGGTTGTGTGCAGTCCAGAGCCCCCTAGCCAACTCTGCCTAGGAGTTGGACATGCCAGCTGCTTCCAGGAGCCATGCAGAGCCAGAACAAGCAGGGAGTCTGCCTTAGTTCTTCTGTGCTGCCCACTGAGAGCCATCTGAAGTAAGCACCATCTGGATGGAGCCTGTGCCTTAATCCCTCTTCCGCACCCCAATCCCCTGCCCCAGGTCAGAACCTTCTCCTACATGCAGAGCCTGCACCACAATCCCCTGCCCCAGCTCGGAGCCTCCCTTCCACACCCAAACTATCTCTTAGATCCTTCATTCTACACTCCCTCCTTCCCCCTAACTCCCTCCCATATCCCACACCCATGCCTCAGACCTGGGCCCATCCTAGACCCCATCTCTGAGCCTCTCCCCACACCCAAATGCTCTCCTCGAGTCTCAGTACTGCTTACCTTCCTGAACCCCAAATCCTTCATCTTCAGCCCCATCCCAGAACTCACACCTTCAGTGGCAGCCCTCACCCTCTCCCACACCTCAAGCCCTAGCCCAATGAAAGTGAGAGTAGGGGAGAACGAGCAAAGAGTGGGAGGATGGAGTGTGTGGGAGTGGAGCCTCTGAGAAGGGTTGTGGCAAGGACAGAGCCTCAGAAGAGGCAGAGCAAGGCCTTAGGGAAGGATGAGACAGGTGTTTGATTCTGTGCAATTAAAAAGTTGGCAACCCAACTAATAGCTGGCTAATAGCCTCTAACTGGCATCCCAGCAGTTATTATTTTTCAGTTAGATACACATGGAATAGCAAATAACCTGCTAATGTATTGTTCAAAAATGTCATGATTTGTAAGGCCCTGAGGTTTCGATGAAAAATCCTATTACTGAATGTGAAAGACTAAGAGATAAAAACATAACATAATGTAAATACATTATTAGACTTGCTGTTTTAGTTACATAGTGGTATATGTAAGAATATTATGTGAACTTTCAAATAACTGCATAAAGATAATGAAGAGAAATGCCTCTGTTACATGATCGTCGTACTCATTAAAGGTTTAACAAAGTATTTTTCTGTCTCTTGCTATAGCTGACATCTCTGTATTCTTTTCACTAGCAGTTATAAAACATTGTTTTATTATATGTAAGTGCCTTGAGCAAGAAGCAGTATCCTTCTCTTTGCTTGCATTTTACAATAACTGCTCTGTTTTTACTTTCTGTTGTTTGATGTTATTAGTTCTTTCACAATGGAGTATCTTTATACTTGGTCTCAGACTCATGTTTCTTTTCCTTTGATCTTCTCCCTCTGTGATGTCTAACTTGTTGCCTCAGACTTCAGTAAAACACTTGACATCCTACCTATTGATCTATCTTCCATCTGTCAAATTGTCTTGATTCCATTAGCTGTAGGATAAATCATAATTTCTAAATACTTTAGATACTGAAATTGACTTATTGAATGAAAAGCTGTGTTTATCCCATCTCTTTCTATCACTCAGTTTAACTCGGACCTTATCTTTGTGCCTAAGGCCAATGTTTTGATGCTCTCACAGTTTCCAAATCTGTAATTCTGTCCACATCACCTCTATAGCAATGCCACAATTTTGTTTCCCTTAGCCATACCTCTGCTGAAATCTTTACTTGTGTCTTAATTACTTCCAATGTTGAATACTTCAGTTACTCCCTTAATACGGTGCTTCTAAGCCTCAAATGTCTCAAACTTCAGGAGATTCAGAATACTTTATCTAAAAGATGTTTTGCAGTGCAGGAAGTGGGACCATATAATCTGTATCCTTTTTTACTTTTGCTGACTATCTAGCCATCTCCAAATTCTATTTAAAAACTCATGCAGAAACAAAGTTTCTTGTTAATCTAGAGTTAAGGTAACGCTGTATTAACTGACTTGAATGTAAAAGACGTCAATGAAGGTAGAGTAGTTATAAAACTAATACTCTAAAGCTAAAAAATTTTGAAGTATAGAAATGCATAATTAGGGTTACCCAGACAACTTTAATTCTGCTCCCATAACAACATGATTATTTTACCATTTCTTCTTTCACAAATTATTTTAGTTCAAGGGCTTTTGGCACAAATATTTTATAGGACTTGAAGAATAGCAGGACTGCCAGAATTGAATTTGTTTTCCAGGATCAAGGCACTTCTTCCTTGGATTTTTGAGAGATCCCTTTCCCACTGATGGGCTGCACAGGAATACCGTGGTATATGTCTTTGCTCAGTAGGGAGTCTGAGGGCCTTCAGAAAGACAAAATGAGTTGTAGGGAATAGCAAATGCCATCACATAAAATTTACCAGAGGCATAATTTGTATTTATTGAATTTGGAAATACAAAATTCTAACTTTGCACATCATCAAAGGAGTTTTTTCTCCTCAAAAATCAGTGTTCTACTAATGCTAGAAACACATTCCAGTGTGCTAGAGAGTAATCACTATTCTTACCTTGTCATCCACCAGGTTGAACAGTTAACAAACCATCTACAAGAAAAAACAGACAAATGCAGTGAGCTTTTGCTCTCTAAAGAGCAACTTCAGAGAGATATACAAGAACGGAATGAAGAAATTGAGAAACTGGAGTGCAGAATAAGAGAATTAGAACAAGCCTTAATTATCAGTGCAGACAATTTGCAAAAGGTATTGTGTATAAAAGTTCCATGTATTTCCTATTCTTCATTTGCCTAAGAACAAGGCAATTAATCTAATATATATTTGAAAGTGTTTGTGAGCAAGCAAGCAAGTCTGTCCATTTGTTCGAGAAGTCCTAAATGGTAAGAGCTAGAATCACCAAATTTAGTATGCAGCCTGCTCTTATCATAACTTAAAGCAAGGTAAGGGTTTGATTGTGCGTGAGAGGAGGGCTGAAGCTCCCTCACCCCATTTATCCGGGGCTGCATAAAACTCTACAAAAAAGAGACAGAATTACCAGACAAGTGAAAGGGGCTGCCTGGGGGTACTTCCTGCCATCTGGGACTGCCCTAGCCCTGAGCCTTCTCACCCCTCAGGCACCTTTTAGGGAAGGTGGGCTGAACCTCCCCGTCCCCCATTCAAAGAGGATCATTGCTGGCTCTTCCCCTTCATCAGAGAGCAAGGGGAAAGTGCATACAGCTTGATCCGTTCCTCAATCTGACTGAGGAGTGTAGGGGACAGATGAACCTGTCCCTGTCCCTGTCCCTGTCCCTGTCCCTGTCCCTGTCCCTGTCCTTGCTGGGGGACGTGCAGTCCTTTCTTGGCTTTGGCTGTGCCTGGGTGAGAGAGGGCTTGGGTAGTCCTTTTACCCTGGAGCAGCCTGCGTACTGAACCCTCATTCCCAGCCCCACCCCAGAGCAATGATTTAAATAAAGAAAAACAGAAGTTAATTGAGTTAAGGACCCAAACAACACCAACTAAGTCTTCTAGTAATAAATAAATGAAAGCTGAAGTAATTGTATATAATATTACCTTTTTTAAAGGTGAAGGAAAGAAAGCAGTGTGGAGTTGCCACTGTGAAGGGAGAATTGCCCCTTGAAGAACAATTGCAGGCTGAAAAAGAAGCTGTGGACAGAAAGGAAAAAGAGGTACAGTATCTCTAAAATGTTTAGGTTTACTTTTAATATGAATTATTTATTGGTAATTTTTGCGTTACACCTAGCTCCATGCAGTAAACTCCAGTTCACTGTTTATACAATCTGTAGCAAGACCATACTGGACAGTGATCTCCATAACTCTCACAAGCTGTCAGGCTTATGCCTAGTAATTATTGGAATAGGTTCTCCCAAGGGCCACCTAAAGTGTTTTTGGAAGTGGTAGTGTTTATTCATTTGGTAGTACTTTTTAGTTGAATGGTTTTCCAATCTAGGTTCTAGTGAAGCTGTTGTGTATACTTGTGGAGAAAATCTTGTTATGACTTTATATTTGGTTAGCTGCAGATTGGCAGTATTGCAAAACACCAGTTTTTTATGAAGGAAAACCAGGTTTGGGCTTGATTTTTAGATTTCCATTGCTTTTCCTTTGCAATGGGGAAAATATGCCATGCTGAACCTTTACGAGGATGTTAGGGTTGGTTAGTAAGGTGCCCTACTACGGCACTAATCTGCACACATTAAGGCTACATTTTCACTGCCAGTTCTTCTGGCAGAAAATATGCTAATGAGGGACACATTAGCGTAAGTCTCTATCTCATTAGCATATTTTCTGCTGTTTCTTTTTGCGCAAAAAGAAGCAGTGTGGATGGAAGGGGTTTTCTGCTTAAAAAAAAAAAACACCATTTTGCGTAAGATTCTTATGCCTGTCCTGGACAGGGACACAGAGACAGGGACACAGAGACACAGACACAGACACACACACACAATTTTTAAAAGGCTGCTGAAGGCAGCAATAAAAGAAACTCATGTAAGCAGTCTTAAAATGACAGTTTTTTGAGAATCTAAAGCCACTGTGAGGTTAGAATTGGTAAATTTAAATGAGCCCAATCCTGCAGCTCTCCCTAACTGGAACTGTCATAGTGATTGGCTGATATCAGTGGTTTTGCATACAAATAGCTTACAGGCCTTCAGAGAATGAATGAGCGACCTGGGCGACTTCCAGTTCTCTGCTTCCTAATCCATTCAGTCTTAAGAATCAAATGTATCTTTACAATCAACATGGCCAGTATATTGGTGAACACAAATCTCATTTGAGTAAAATGCTGTTGTTGTAACATGAACAAAATTGATGCCATATATATGTGTTTTTTTAATGTGTCTGTTTTTTAAAAAATGTGGCTGTTAACCCCTTTGATCCACATTTTGGATGTACAGATCACAAACCTTGAAGAACAACTGGAGCAGTTTCGAGAAGAGCTAGAGAACAAAAATGAAGAAGTTCAGCAGTTGCATATGCAATTAGAGATTCAGAGAAAGGAATCCACTACACGCCTTCAAGAACTTGATCAAGAGAATAAATTATTTAAGGTAGTTATTAGACAGACAAGATTGTAGCTTCATTTCTGTTTACCTGAATAAATTCATTCTGGGGTAAACCAAGACCATTAATTCGTATTTGATGTCTCAAGTGTTATACTGTTCAGGTTACAAAATACTAAAAATTTCATATAGCCATTCTTTATTTCATATGATCATCTGTCAGAATCTATTAATTGAAGATACTCAGAAAAGGATACATATTGCATCACATCTTATGGATTCTTTTTTTTTAATTTGGTAGGATGAAATGGAAAGATTGGGACTAGTGATCCAGAAATCTGAAGATGCATCCATAAAGGATCATTGTCTAGTAGCAGGGAAACTTGCTCGGATCATGCAGGAAAAGGAACAGGAAATAGATCATCTTAATGAGCAAATAACAACCATGCAACAGCAACTTGAAAGTACAACAGACAACAAAGTACGTTATTGTCAAATCTTTTGCAATATCCTAATTTATATGCATAGATTTTAAAGAGCACGTATACTTAGTCATTAATAGAATACAATGCTCTAACCTTCAAAACTAATGACTATTTCTCACTTCTTTTTGTGGAATCATCATTCTGTTAAGAAAAATACATTAAAATTAAAATTTCAAAAAACAGAAGCCCTGGTCAGATTCAGTGTATATTATCTCTTCCTTAATTTCATGACATCACTCTTCATTATATTCTCTAGCATGTTAAATAATTCCCTTCTCTCCTTGGTGCAAGACGTAAGTATAAAAGACTACTAGACCTTAGATCAATATGTCCCAAACAATGGATTGAGACCTGCCAATGGGTCACAGAAAGGTTCTAGGAGGATGCCCCTCACCCTGTACTTACTCTGCAGCAGAGTGGAATGGAATGGCAGAGTAAATCCTGCACCAGATTGCATTGTCACTCACTCAGATTTTGCCCAGTCGTCCCTCTGACGTGATGAAAGGGTGGCTAGGTCAAACTAGAGTGGTGCTGCAAATTGCAATGCCTGGAGTAGGAAACCAGGCTCAGGGCCATATGTGTTAAAACGAGGGACACATCCCCTGGCTTGAAATGGTTTCCATTATTTACAGGGTTTCTAGTTTGGTACAGTGGCTGCCAGCACCCCCTGCTAGAGGGTGAGTATGAGGCAGACCCCCGCTCCTCCTTGGGGTTTCTCAAGTCAGTATTAGTAGAAGTGCTACTACAGGTGGCCAGTGTTCTCCCAGTGGGGTGAGGAGGAGGAGATGGTAGTGGAGAAGAAGGTTGCTAGCCTATGATTTTGTGTGCCCCCTCTCAGTGTCACTGGAACAATTTTTAGGGTAGGGGGTGCTAAGACACCCCCTCCCACCTTACTCTATCTGTGCCCCTCGCTGCCCCAGATTGATGCCAGAGTGGAGGCAGCTGTAGGGTGCAGGGCATAGGGTCAGGGCCCCAGGGCCTACAGCAGAGCTGATGGGGCCCAGCAGCCAGGACTCCAGATAGCAGCAGGACCTCCTGGCATGGGCTGGCATCTGGGACCCTAATACAGGGTGCAAAACCTTAGGTGTGGTGAAACATCCTCCATACTCCTTATTTCCCACATTTTTGCCCTCCCTTTCCCATGCCTGTACATGTCACAAAATTAGGCAAAATGCAGTTGTTGGATCACCTTGCTAAAAAATTTGGGAACCAATACTTTAGGTCAGTCTCTTCAATACTCTTCTAGACCTCTTCCTCCTCTTAGGCTGTGTCTAGACTACATACCTCTGTCGGCAGAGGCATGTAGATTAGACAGATCAGCAAAGGCAAATGAAGCCGCGATTTAAATGATCGCAGCTTCATTTACATTTACATGGCTGCCGCGCTGAGCCGACAAACAGCTGATCAGCTGTTTGTCGGCTCAGCGCGGCAGCCATGTAAATGTAAATGAAGCTGCGATCATTTAAATCGCGGCTTCATTTGCCTTTGCTGATCTGTCTAATCTACATGCCTCTGCCGACAGAGGTATGTAGTCTAGACACAGCCTAAGAGGAGGAAGAGGTCTAGAAGAGTATTGAAGAGACTGACCTAAAGTATTGGTTCCCAAATTTTTTAGCAAGGTGATCCAACAACTGCATTTTGCCTAATTTTGTGACATGTACAGGCATGGGAAAGGGAGGGCAAAAATGTGGGAAATAAGGAGTATGGAGGATGTTTCACCACACCTAAGGTTTTGCACCCTGTATTAGGGTCCCAGATGCCAGCCCATGCCAGGAGGTCCTGCTGCTATCTGGAGTCCTGGCTGCTGGGCCCCATCAGCTCTGCTGTAGGCCCTGGGGCCCTGACCCTATGCCCTGCACCCTACAGCTGCCTCCACTCTGGCATCAATCTGGGGCAGCGAGGGGCACAGATAGAGTAAGGTGGGAGGGGGTGTCTTAGCACCCCCTACCCTAAAAATTGTTCCAGTGACACTGAGAGGGGGCACACAAAATCATAGGCTAGCAACCTTCTTCTCCACTACCATCTCCTCCTCCTCACCCCACTGGGAGAACACTGGCCACCTGTAGTAGCACTTCTACTAATACTGACTTGAGAAACCCCAAGGAGGAGCGGGGGTCTGCCTCATACTCACCCTCTAGCAGGGGGTGCTGGCAGCCACTGTACCAAACTAGAAACCCTGTAAATAATGGAAACCATTTCAAGCCAGGGGATGTGTCCCTCGTTTTAACACATATGGCCCTGAGCCTGGTTTCCTACTCCAGGCATTGCAATTTGCAGCACCACTCTAGTTTGACCTAGCCACCCTTTCATCACGTCAGAGGGACGACTGGGCAAAATCTGAGTGAGTGACAATGCAATCTGGTGCAGGATTTACTCTGCCATTCCATTCCACTCTGCTGCAGAGTAAGTACAGGGTGAGGGGCATCCTCCTAGAACCTTTCTGTGACCCATTGGCAGGTCTCAATCCATTGTTTGGGACATATTGATCTAAGGTCTAGTAGTCTTTTATACTTACGTCTTGCACCAAGGAGAGAAGGGAATTATTTAACATGCTAGAGAATATAATGAAGAGTGATGTCATGAAATTAAGGAAGAGATAATATACACTGAATCTGACCAGGGCTTCTGTTTTTTGAAATTTTAATTTTAATGTATTTTTCTTAACAGAATGATGATTCCACAAAAAGAAGTGAGAAATAGTCATTAGTTTTGAAGGTTAGAGCATTGTATTCTATTAATGACTAAGTATACGTGCTCTTTAAAATCTATGCATATAAATTAGGATATTGCAAAAGATTTGACAATAACGTACTTTGTTGTCTGTTGTACTTTCAAGTTGCTGTTGCATGGTTGTTATTTGCTCATTAAGATGATCTATTTCCTGTTCCTTTTCCTGCATGATCCGAGCAAGTTTCCCTGCTACTAGACAATGATCCTTTATGGATGCATCTTCAGATTTCTGGATCACTAGTCCCAATCTTTCCATTTCATCCTACCAAATTAAAAAAAAAGAATCCATAAGATGTGATGCAATATGTATCCTTTTCTGAGTATCTTCAATTAATAGATTCTGACAGATGATCATATGAAATAAAGAATGGCTATATGAAATTTTTAGTATTTTGTAACCTGAACAGTATAACACTTGAGACATCAAATACGAATTAATGGTCTTGGTTTACCCCAGAATGAATTTATTCAGGTAAACAGAAATGAAGCTACAATCTTGTCTGTCTAATAACTACCTTAAATAATTTATTCTCTTGATCAAGTTCTTGAAGGCGTGTAGTGGATTCCTTTCTCTGAATCTCTAATTGCATATGCAACTGCTGAACTTCTTCATTTTTGTTCTCTAGCTCTTCTCGAAACTGCTCCAGTTGTTCTTCAAGGTTTGTGATCTGTACATCCAAAATGTGGATCAAAGGGGTTAACAGCCACATTTTTTAAAAAACAGACACATTAAAAAAACACATATATATGGCATCAATTTTGTTCATGTTACAACAACAGCATTTTACTCAAATGAGATTTGTGTTCACCAATATACTGGCCATGTTGATTGTAAAGATACATTTGATTCTTAAGACTGAATGGATTAGGAAGCAGAGAACTGGAAGTCGCCCAGGTCGCTCATTCATTCTCTGAAGGCCTGTAAGCTATTTGTATGCAAAACCACTGATATCAGCCAATCACTATGACAGTTCCAGTTAGGGAGAGCTGCAGGATTGGGCTCATTTAAATTTACCAATTCTAACCTCACAGTGGCTTTAGATTCTCAAAAAACTGTCATTTTAAGACTGCTTACATGAGTTTCTTTTATTGCTGCCTTCAGCAGCCTTTTAAAAATTGTGTGTGTGTGTCTGTGTCTGTGTCTCTGTGTCCCTGTCTCTGTGTCCCTGTCCAGGACAGGCATAAGAATCTTACGCAAAATGGTGTTTTTTTTTTTTAAGCAGAAAACCCCTTCCATCCACACTGCTTCTTTTTGCGCAAAAAGAAACAGCAGAAAATATGCTAATGAGATAGAGACTTACGCTAATGTGTCCCTCATTAGCATATTTTCTGCCAGAAGAACTGGCAGTGAAAATGTAGCCTTAATGTGTGCAGATTAGTGCCGTAGTAGGGCACCTTACTAACCAACCCTAACATCCTCGTAAAGGTTCAGCATGGCATATTTTCCCCATTGCAAAGGAAAAGCAATGGAAATCTAAAAATCAAGCCCAAACCTGGTTTTCCTTCATAAAAAACTGGTGTTTTGCAATACTGCCAATCTGCAGCTAACCAAATATAAAGTCATAACAAGATTTTCTCCACAAGTATACACAACAGCTTCACTAGAACCTAGATTGGAAAACCATTCAACTAAAAAGTACTACCAAATGAATAAACACTACCACTTCCAAAAACACTTTAGGTGGCCCTTGGGAGAACCTATTCCAATAATTACTAGGCATAAGCCTGACAGCTTGTGAGAGTTATGGAGATCACTGTCCAGTATGGTCTTGCTACAGATTGTATAAACAGTGAACTGGAGTTTACTGCATGGAGCTAGGTGTAACGCAAAAATTACCAATAAATAATTCATATTAAAAGTAAACCTAAACATTTTAGAGATACTGTACCTCTTTTTCCTTTCTGTCCACAGCTTCTTTTTCAGCCTGCAATTGTTCTTCAAGGGGCAATTCTCCCTTCACAGTGGCAACTCCACACTGCTTTCTTTCCTTCACCTTTAAAAAAGGTAATATTATATACAATTACTTCAGCTTTCATTTATTTATTACTAGAAGACTTAGTTGGTGTTGTTTGGGTCCTTAACTCAATTAACTTCTGTTTTTCTTTATTTAAATCATTGCTCTGGGGTGGGGCTGGGAATGAGGGTTCAGTACGCAGGCTGCTCCAGGGTAAAAGGACTACCCAAGCCCTCTCTCACCCAGGCACAGCCAAAGCCAAGAAAGGACTGCACGTCCCCCAGCAAGGACAGGGACAGGGACAGGGACAGGGACAGGTTCATCTGTCCCCTACACTCCTCAGTCAGATTGAGGAACGGATCAAGCTGTATGCACTTTCCCCTTGCTCTCTGATGAAGGGGAAGAGCCAGCAATGATCCTCTTTGAATGGGGGACGGGGAGGTTCAGCCCACCTTCCCTAAAAGGTGCCTGAGGGGTGAGAAGGCTCAGGGCTAGGGCAGTCCCAGATGGCAGGAAGTACCCCCAGGCAGCCCCTTTCACTTGTCTGGTAATTCTGTCTCTTTTTTGTAGAGTTTTATGCAGCCCCGGATAAATGGGGTGAGGGAGCTTCAGCCCTCCTCTCACGCACAATCAAACCCTTACCTTGCTTTAAGTTATGATAAGAGCAGGCTGCATACTAAATTTGGTGATTCTAGCTCTTACCATTTAGGACTTCTCGAACAAATGGACAGACTTGCTTGCTTGCTCACAAACACTTTCAAATATATATTAGATTAATTGCCTTGTTCTTAGGCAAATGAAGAATAGGAAATACATGGAACTTTTATACACAATACCTTTTGCAAATTGTCTGCACTGATAATTAAGGCTTGTTCTAATTCTCTTATTCTGCACTCCAGTTTCTCAATTTCTTCATTCCGTTCTTGTATATCTCTCTGAAGTTGCTCTTTAGAGAGCAAAAGCTCACTGCATTTGTCTGTTTTTTCTTGTAGATGGTTTGTTAACTGTTCTTTGTTTTTAAAATAATTTTATTTGTGATCTTTCACCAACTTTCAGTTTATTTCACTGAATAGCATTGCATTCAATATTCATGTGTGATTGAATTCATTTTTTTTGTGCAGGATTTCTTGTACAAGATGTTGGGGGGAATGAGTAAACAAACAGCTCCCAGAAAATCCAGGAGAAAGCATAGTCTGGTTGTTTTTTAGTTACATATTTTATATTCCTTTCATTGACTTTCTAGGTTATTGAAGAAAAAAATGAGCATATAAGAGAACTTGAAGCCCAGGTAGAATGCCTAAAAAGTGATCAAGAGCGTGTGAAGAAAAACCATGAAGAAGAAATTGAACAGAAGAATGAAGGAGTTGGCAAATATTGAACAAAAAGTACCTGTAGATGTTACTTCCATTCAGGAGGATGCTGACAGTCTGAAACAGCAGTTTGATACAGTATTGGCAGAAAAAGAAGCTTTGGAGAAGAAAATGGAAGATGATAATGTAAAAGCATCCCTTACAAAGAATGAGCTTGAAGAAACTAAATTAAAAATGAACCATTTGAAGAAAGAACTAGATATCTTAAAGAGGGAGCATGAGCAAGTATCAGAAAAATATAAGCATTTACTGATGGAAAGTGACAAGGCAGAAGTAGGGGACAGAAGCAAAGACAAAAGTGAAAAACTGGAAGAAGCCCTGAATGAAAAGACTCCAATGCTACTAGAAAATAAAATCCAGCTTACATCTATGGAAGAAAATACAAAGGTCACCATAAGCAACATGCAGATAAACCTGCAGCAACTTCAGGCAGCTATTAAAGAGAAGGATTCAGAGTTGTGCCAGTGTTATAACCAAATGAAGGACTTGAAAGAGCAAGCCAAGGTTGAAACACAAATACTTAGAAATAAAATACTGGAACTTGAAGAGCTACTTCAGGAAAAGGTTGCTGCTGCTCTTGTGAGCCAAGTCCAGTTGAATGCAGTTCAGGAGCAAAATAAACTCAGGCAAAGAACTAAGGCATTTTCAAATGAAGAAGCAAATAAAAGTACACAAACAGAGAATCAAAAACACTTAGCTAAAGGAGAGACAGAATCAAAATTATCAATATTAACAGAGAAACTTTCAGAGATGGAAAATGAGCTGGAGAGAATGCATAGTAAACTGGAGCTAGAAAAAGAAAATGCAGAAATTGCACAGAAGGAGGTTATAAAAAAAGAACACAGACTATTAGAACTTCAGCAGTTACTAGAAGACATTGAGGAAAAGCACAAAGAGGAGATTAAAAAGGCCCCTAAACAGGAAGAGGTGCAAATATCTGAGGTAAAAATTGTATGTCATATGATCTTTTGCTCACTTTGCCTAAGAATTAGTTATTTTTATGGGAACTGTCGTAGGTGCACACATTTTTAGTAAAACTAAAGGCATTAATATTCTGTTACTGCATGAACAGATTCAGTAAGAGCTGTGCTAGATATATATGCACCTCTGAGTTACAAATAGAACAAAAATTTCACCTTATACTAAAAGACAGAGAGAAAGTCTTGTAGAATGTTGCATTGCAAAGTTGATCCACATTGTTCTTTGTACATATCCATATCTTCATCCACATATTTTCTCCTAATAACTATGGCAGTGTGGACACTCTCTTGTCCAAGAAAGTGCCGATGGCCATTTTAGCCATAGGGCTTTCTTGCTCAAGAAATTCACGTAGCCTATCTACACTGGCCTCTTCCGCAAGAATAGTTGCTCAAAAGGGCTTATTCCTGAGTGGGAGCATCGTAGTTCTTGCGCAAGAAGCCCTGATTTCATACATGAGAACGTTAGTGTACTTGCACAAGAACACACGGCCAGTGTAGACAGGCAGCAAATTTTTGCGCAAGAGCGGCTGGATCCGCGTAACTCAGGGACTGCCTGTACCTTTTTTGTACCCTCCTTTGGGTGCTTTCCACAATGACACTGACTTTATATCTCTTTAATATTTAATTTATACTAATTTATCTTCATGCTGCCCTCCATCGATCACCAGTTATGTCACCTGTGATTTTGACCCTCTGAATCAAAGTTTAGTGTTGTCTTCTATTTTCCAAGGCAGAGACTGTATGTTCTGTGCTTAGCAATTTAATGAAAACCTCAGCTTTGCTGGTGAAAGTCTGAAGTTCACAGATATCACGTAATGTAGGGCCTAGACCAGTGTTCCCTCTAAACTGCATAGCAGCAGTTCTGTGCACGGAGCCTTGAGTCTCTGACTGGGTGGGGCTGATTAATCACCTGTGAAGCTGTGCTGCTGGGCAGGTTAGAGGGAACACTGGCTAGACCCCAGGTGCTAAAACCTTTTGTGCACATGTTGTTGAATTAAGGTCAAAAATTTCTCTTTAAAACTGTATGATGTTTAGCAGACTTCATTTTCCAGAAGCTTATTGTTTTCCATGCAGTCGTTTTATTTTTCTGGAGTTTGGGGATCTCAGTTAATCTAGAAAAAGTGGCCTTTTGAAACATAAGACTGAGAGGTTAGGTTGGTCGCAACACTACTTATTCAAGACACTTGACGTTTCTTCACATGATTTGTCTCATCTTTAGTTATTGTGGCGTGGGATGGAGGGGCCATCACTATTAGTATTTTGATGCCATTGTAATAGCTGTTTTATCTACCATTGCTTATATTTTGACATGTAGGTAGTCACAGAGCTAACTCAAGGTCAAGAAGGAAACGTACTCATTGCTGAACGTAAATTAGAAAAAATCAAAGCTGAATCAGCTGCTGCCAAAGAAGAGCTGAGTAGTTACAGAGAAAAGTCAGAAAAACTTCAAGAGGAATTAATGGTAAGAACTGGGTCGTTCCATAATTGTTTTATTTCTTCCACTGAAACACATTCAGTAAAAATGACTGTACAGTACACAATGTTCATATATTTATGAAAATGACATGATGCGAGACAAGATCTTTAATTGATGCAAACGGTATAAACATAGTGATTTCAAGAGAATTGTATCAATTTACATGATCTAGTCTATTTCTTGAGATAGTAACTTTGTGTTATCATCTAATAAACGTAATCTGTTTAAACAAGATGAAAAATAATAACTGTGACTCTTCATTGTATAGAGCATTTAAAACACTAAACTTGGTGGTTTAAAAGTATTTGGCTATCTGGGCTTCAAATGTGTTATTTCTATAGGTGAGAGAGACAAGTATGACACATCTTCAAGAAGAGCTTCACCGAGTCAAAGACAACCTATTTGAAGCAGAAAAGAAGCTTGCAGATTATATGAGAAAGGAAGCGAAAATAGTAGAACTTGAAGACATAAAGGATGTTGACAAACCAGATAGTGTTTCTACCAAAGAAGACGCTAGTTTTACCAGAAAAAGTTCATCATCTCAGACTGATAAGACTATGCAAATCAGTAGCTCCAACCAGACTTTACAGGTTGCTGTTAAAAATGCTGAAATTCAAAATGATTTACAAAATGAAATTTCATCAGAGGAGGTTGCAGAAATCATAAGAGAGTTCACTGAGAGAATTGAACAAATGCAAGAACTCCATGCTGCTGAAATCATGGACATGGAAACCAGACATATTTCTGAATCAGAAGCATTGAAGAGAGAGCAGTTTGTTGCAGTTCAAGTATTAACAGATGAATGTAATGCTTTGAAAGAAGTCATAGAAACTTTGAGAGCTAAAGAGGTATATATTGTATTTTTATATATTCTTCCATTCTGTATATTATCAAGAATTTTGTGGTTCATGCTACTATTAAATAGGGTTCCTATTTTTAGTCCTCTTAATCATGAAAGCCAATTTGTGCCATTAAGACATTCTACGGTTTTTGCAGCTGTGTTGAGTTGCTTCACCCAAGGGACAGTTTCTAGATCCCTCCCTACCTCTATCATCCCTTAGGCTAGAGCAACCGGCTGCCCTCCTTGGGTCCAGCCAGTTCTATAGACTTGTGAAGCAGAAATGTCAGCCCATGAACCTTCTTATTTCTGTCCCTTTTTGAGAGTTTCTATGTTGCCAAGGCACTGGGAGGGAGTCTCCCACGTGACTCTGATAAGCTACTTTGTTATGATTAATCTGAACCCTTATTTTGTCATGTTGTGGGGTTTTATAATTTTAAATGTTTTCTTTTACAAATATAGGCCATCCCAATTTCTGGGTTACCGCACTCAGGATCCTATCAGGCCAGAGATGGATGTTCTAGTGGTAAGAAACTATTGTTTTATAGCCATAATATTTCTCAGAATAGTATTATAAATTAAATTTGGGTATTTTTCATAGACTTTATTTTTATTCTGCTTGTATGATAAAAACCAAAAGTAGCTGTGCATTACTTTAGTCCTAGCACAATGGAAATTACAGTTCTTCTGAAAAGGTAAAATATCAATCTTGCAGGTATTTCTTCTTAATTAGGACTTTTCTACAGTGATCTTGGACCAATATCATGATTTTATTAAAGAAACAACAGGTACTTACTTGATGCTTTTCTCCTCCATTTTCAACATACAACAGCACAGCAAAGAGTTTAACATTCAGAAAGAAACCCCAGCATAAGCAACATGTAATCCCATCATATACAGGCAGTCCCCGAGTTACACGGATCCGACTTATGTCGGATCCGCAGTTACGAACGGGGCCCTCCCTCTCCCTGGTCTCCAGCAGACCAGGGAGAGGAAGCAAAGCCGTGGAGCATGCGGGCAGCTGACAGACGGCTGGCCGCGTGTTCTGCCACTTTGCTCTGCTTTGCTCCCCGTCCCCCTGGTCTGCAGACCAGGGGGACGGGGAGCAAAGCAGAGCAAAGTGGCAGAACACGCGGCCAGCCGTCTGTCAGCTGCCCGCATGCTCCACGGCCTTGCTTCCTCTCCCCGGTCCG